GGTTGCTTTGGGAGTATTCTCCTTTCGATTCCTTTTATGGGTATTCTTGCGGAGCCGTAGTTCCCATGGTTCTGCTGGATGCCTTAGCTTTGGTCACACCAGCCGGCAGAGCAAAACAAGTCATGATGTCATCATGCACCTGAAGCTCTCTACGCCGTAAGCCCTAAAGTAGACCCTAACCCCAAACTTGGGGTTTAGGGTTTCCCCCTATTCTAAGGGTAGTTTCACGTCCCTTAATATGGTCCCTTACCTCCTGTAGGGGGTTCTGATGTACGGGCCCTTGGGCTGTGCAGGGTATGTAAGGGGTACATAAGGGGTCCCGGGCCCATACTAAGGGACCATGTAACTACCCTAAGACCTACCCCTTCCCTTCCCACGCCCGTGCGAAAAGAAGACAGGAGGGCTCCTACTCGGAAGCTCGCAAATCAGGGGGCGACTTCCAACCCTAAACCCCTGAACCCTTGGGTTTGTTTGGGTTATGGGTTTCGGGTTTAGGGTTTAGGGTTTAGGGTTTAAGGTTTCGGGTTTAGGGTTTAGGGTTTAAGCTTTCGGGTTTAGGGTTTAGGGTTTAAGTTTCGGGTTTAGGGTTTATTGTTTAGGGTTTAGGGTAAGGCCTAAACCTCAATCTGAGAAGAGCATCCTGGACAAGGAGTCTGAAGCCCTCAACCCCCAAGTTACCCGAAAGCCTCCATCATCAACAGGGCATTCCCAAAAGACTGGTCAAACCCTAAACCCTGAATACGGTTTAGGGGTTAGGGGTTAGGGGTTCGGGTTTAGTATTCAGGGTTTGTACCCCTTGTAGGCACCTCCATGTATATGTCCAAGGGCTTGTAAGGCGATACAGGGGATAGTCTGCCCCCCCTTGCCTCAGAACCCTGCAGTCGCCTTCTCAACACCTCTTGTAAACCCCTAAACCCTAAACCCTAAACCCTAAACCCTAAACCCTAAACCCTAAACCCTAAACCCTAAACCCTAAACCCTAAACCCTAAACCCTAAACCCCAAACCCTAAACCCTAGACCCTAGACCCTAGACCCTAGACCCTAGACCCTAGACCCTAAACCCTAAACCCTAAACCCTAAACCCTAACCCTAAACCCTAAATCCTAAAGCCACCTAAAGCCCTAAACCCTAAAGCCCTAAACCCAAGTTCTCTGTGCAGGCCCTGAAGCAGGACCTCGAAGAGGACCCGGACCTCCGTCGTGGCGTCAACATGTACAGGACGGGTTGAGGGCTTAGGGCTTAGGGGTTAGGGTCTAGGGTTTAGGGTTTAGGGTTTAGAGCTTAGGGCTTGGGGGTTAGGGTTTAGGGTGCAGGGGGTCGTTTTTGGTTTTAGGGTTTTAGGCGGGTTTGAGGGATCTAGGGCTTTAGGGTTTTCGTGCTGTGAGGGTCTTTTTGTGGCTGTCAGAGTGCTAGCTGTCAGGGGCATGAGGAGGCCATAGTAGTTATCTGTTTAGGACCGTATTCGGGGTACCCTTAACCTCAGAGGTTCCGAACACCAGCATCGAAGGCCGGAAAAGCACGCAAAATGACAAAACGTTTTAGGGTTCAAGGGTTCAGGGTTTAGGGTTTGGGGTTTAGGGTTTGGTTTTGAGCAATATTGGTGCCAGCCCACACTCATCGGGTTTTCCACCGAAGTTTTCCAGAGAGCGACATGTTTAGGGTACGCGAGACCCCTAAACCCCAAGCCGTTTCGGGCTTAGGGTGTTATTAGGGAATGAAGAACCCATTGGGGGGAAGGGGGGTCTCTCGATTTTTGGTCACTTCTTTGGGGTTCCTATTGTCATACTCGCGCACCCCGAAAGGGACATTGGCTTAGAAAGCTGCCGGCAGTATTGTAGTGCAACTGTTTTCCGGATAGTTCTCGAAGCAGAATGTTACAGGCTGCGCCGTGAAGTGGGCTTGACATTGTCACCAGGGTTTGGGGTGGAATAAGGATCTTGTTGCCAAACCCGTAGCCCTACACTTCCTAAGCTTCCTAAAGCCCTAAACCCTACCCCCTAAAGCCTAGTAGGGTTTAGGGCTTCGGGTTTAAGGGATTTGGGTTTTAGGGCTTAGCCTCCGAACTTCAGAGCCCCTGCCAGGACCGGCATGGAGACTGAGAAGCAAGCTGACGAAGCCGAGCAGCAGGCACCGCCGCACTGGAACCCTTGTCTCGAAAATCCCTAAGGCCCCTAAAGCCCCTACAGCCTAAGCACATACCCTACCCCATACCATGCCCTGAAATCCCAAACCCTAAGCGTTAGAAACCCCAAAAGCCTTAAAACCCTCCACCCTAAACCTAGAAACCCCAAGCCTCAAAACCTAGAAACCCGAACCCTCAAAACCTAAAATCGCAACCCTAAAAACCCGAATAGAGGGGCCGATGGTTTTCCCATATGGCCCGTTTATCATTAGACTAGGCAAACCCCCCAAAATTTTAAACCCGTTCGCTCCAAGAGTTCCTTTGGGGTTCTACCCGAGATGCGTGGCAGGCCGAAAATGCGGATGCAGAGGACCGGGCTTCGATCGCAGGGCTTGGAGGGTCTAGGGGTTTACGGTTTTGGGCTTTCAGAGTTTAGGGGCTTTGGGGGGTTTTGGGGGGGGGGGGGTTTTAGGATACGCTTTTGTGGGGTTGTGGACTCAGCATTCCGGGTCAAGGGTCCAGATTTTTGGCTGCTTGGCGTTTAGGGTCTTGGGCTTGTGGTCTCGATAGAGTTCAGGTGTCGAGGGCTAGGGAGCTAGGGTGCCATCTTGTCAGGAGACCCCCTAAACCCGAACACCCTAAACCCAAAACCCAAAAGCCCCTGACCGCCTTTCTACCACCTACCGTCAACGCCTTAACCCCAAACCCTAACCCCCAAACCCTAACCCCCAAACCCCAACCCCCAAACCCTAAACCCTAAATTGGCAGCCCAAAGTTGGAGTTGGGTTGCAGAGCTTCGGTCCTCAACCCTAAACCCTAAACCCTAAACCCTAAACCCTAAACCCTACACCCTAACACCACGTGAAACATTGTTTGTTCCGAGCCCCATTCAAAGGCTCGCTTCATGGAAGGCAACCCCTTACCCCCAAACCCCAAACCCCAAACCCCAAACCCCAAACCCTAAACCCTAAACCCTAAACCCCAAACCCGAAACCCTAAACCCTAAACCCTAAACCCTAAACCCTAAAAGTCCTGGCTGTTGACAAGCGCTTCTGGGCTTGGAGAAAGGTGGTTGTCCTTGGGTAGTTGCCGATGGCGGACCCTTGTCTTCGTAGGCGATGCGCTAACAGCCAATGACAGAGCATGGAGGCAAGAATGCCAGGCGTTGCAATCCCTAAACCCTGAACCCCTAACCCTGAACCCTAAACCCTAAACCCTAAACCCTGAACTCTAAACCCTAAACCCTAAACCCCGCTGCAATCTCGCCGGGAAGCCGCCGACGACTTCACTCGTGAACTCGCACAGGGCAGCCTCGGTCTCCCATTGCGCTGCTGCAGCCATCAGCTGGCCTGATCCGCAAGCCAGTCATCCTTAACCCCAGGGCCCTCAAACCTTTTTGAGGCCTGCCCTAAACCCTGAACCCTAAACCCTAAACCCTAAACCCTAAACCCGAAACCGTAAACCCTAAACCCTTAGCCTTAAACCCTACCAAGGCTGGAGACGCCCAATGCCCTCAACCCGTAGCCCCGAAGATCCTAGAAGGCGGTTGAGGGAGTTTAGGGTTTAGGGTTTAGGGGTAGGGGTTCAGGGTTTAGGGTTTAGGGTTAAGGGTGTAGGGTTTAGGGTTTAGGGTTTAGGGTTAGGGGTTTAGGGTTTAGGGTTTAGGATTTACGGTTTAGAGTTTAGGCTCTAGGGTTTGTGGGATCCTTAGCTCTGAACCCTAAACCCTAAACCCAAAACCCAAAACCCTAAACAGTCCCCCCTCCCCAGAGCCCTTTCCGAGGACTCGGACTCGGACGCCCCAGAGGCAGTTTGGGGTTTGGGGTTTAGGGTTTGGGGTTTAGGGTTTAGGGTTTAGGGTATAAGGTTTAGGGTCTGGAGGTTTAGGGTTTAAGGTTTGGCGTTTTGGGTTTGAGGTTTTGGGGTTTTGGGTTTAGAGGGTCTGGGGTTTCGGGTTTGAGGCTTAGGGTTTCGCTACTCTTTTTGTTTTTGCGGGCGTGATGTTCAAAGGTACCAGAATAAGATGATGAGCTTCTAGAGCCCTAATCCCTATTCCCCTAATCCTCTAATCCCCTAACCTCCAACCCCCAACCCCCAAGCCCAAAACATCTAATCGACTAAGCCCTAAATCCCAGATCCCCTAAACCCAACTTCCCGAATCTCCGAAACCCTAGTCCCTACTCCCTGGGTTTTCTGCCCTAAAGTTCAGGGCTTCAGGGGTTTCGGGTTGCGTGTTTTGGAGTGTCCGTAAACCCTAAACCCTAAACCCTAAACCCTAAACCCTAAACCCTAAACCCTAAACCCTAAACTCAGGGCCTAGGAAGCCCCCAAGAAGCGCCAAGAGCCACCAAAAGCTTCAAAAGCTTCAAAAGGCCCACTAAAAGAAGGGGGACCACAAGATTTGTCCGTGCCCACAATGAGAATATTGAAAACATTGTTTTTAGGCACCCCTGCCCGCATTTTAGTATTGAAATCGATGGCTCCCCCTAAATCAGCAAGGACCTCTACGGGCCCACGTGCCGAAGGCCCGAAAAGGACCGAAACTACCCCGAACCCCAGCCTAAACCCTGACACCGCAAAACCCTACGACGGCCTTCAAGCAAATAAGGGCCTCTACGGGCCCTAACGTGCCGAAGGCCCGAAAAGGGCCGAGGCTACCCCGAACCCCAGCTTAAACCCTAACACCGCAAAACCCTACGAAGGGCTTCAAGCAAATAAGGGCCTCTACGGGCCCTAACTTGCCGAAGGCCCGAAAAGGGCCGAGGCTACCCCGAACCCGAGCTTAAACCCTAGCGATTGAAAGACTCATTGGCGAAAAACTCATTAATAGGTTCCCTGACCTTTAAATGAATAAAGCCTCTACGGCCCCTGACACGC